CTCCTGCTTCTTCTCCACATTATCATCATCATTATTGTTAAGATCATCAGCATCATCATCTCTATCATCTCTATCTTCATCATCACCATTATCCTTCTCTTTCTGCTGCTGCCCCTCCTTCTTTTTCTTCTTCTCCTTCTCCTACTTCTTCTCCGCATCATCATCATCATCATTATAGTAACGATCATCATCATCATCATCACCATTCTCTTCCTCCTCCTTCTTCTTAGCATCATCATCATCAACAATTTTCTCCTCCTCCTTCTTCTTCTCCTCCTCCTTATCCTCCACATTATCATCATCATTATAGTTAAGATCATCAGCATCATCATCTCTATCATCCCTACCTTCATCATCACCATTCTCCTTCTCTTCCTGCTGCTGCTCCTTTTCTTCCTGCTACTGCTGCTTCTCCTCCTCCTCCTTCTTCTTCTCCTCCTCCTTTTTCTCCACATCTTCATCATTTATAGTTACGATCATTAGCATCATCATCATCATCACCATTCTCTTCCTCCTCCTCCAGCTTCTTCTTATTATTCTCCTCCTTTTCTCGACATCATCATCATCATTATAGTTTCGATCATCAGCATCATCGTCATCATCATTTTCCTCCTCCTTCTCCTCCTCCTCATCATCATCATTATAGTTACGATCATCAGCATCATCATTTCTATCATCCCTATCTTCATCATCACCATTCTCCTTTTCTTCCTGCTGCTGCTGCTGCTCCTCCTTCTTCTTCTCCTCCTCCTTTTCTCCACATTATCATCATCATTATAGTTAGGATCATCAGCATCATCACCTCTATCATCCCTATCTTTATCATCACCATTCTCCTTCTCTTCCTGCTGCTGCCCCTCCTTCTTTTTCTTCTTTTCCTCATCATTATCATCATTGTAGTTACGATCATCAGCATCATCATCATCATCATCATCACCATTCTCCTCCTCTTTCTTCTTCTCCTCCTTCTTCTCATCATACTCATCATTATAGTTACGATCATCAGCATCATCATCTCTATCATCCCTATCTTCATCATCACTATGCTCCTTCTTTTCCTCCTGCTGCTGCTGCTCCTTCTTCTCCTCCTCCTCCTTTTCTCCACATCATCATCATCATTATAGTTACGGTCAGCATCATCATCATCATCATCACCATTCTGTTCCTCCTTCTTCTCATCCTCATCATCATCATTATAGTTACGATCATCAGCATCTTCATCATCACCATTCTCCTTCTCTTCCTGCTGCTGCTGCTCCTACTTTTTCTTCTTCTCCGCAGCATCATCAGCATCATTATCTCTATCATCTTAATTCTCATCCTCCTTCTCCTCTCCCCCCTTCTTCTTCTTCTTCTCCCCCTTCTTCTCCTTATCATCATCATCATTATAGTTACGATCATCAGCATCATCATCTCTATCATCTCTATCTTCATCATCACCATTTTCCTTCTTCTTCCTCTTCTTCTTTTCATTATTATTTGTAATAGTATCAGTAGTAGTATTTTTATTTTAATTATTCTCATCATCTTCATCAGCTGCAGAAGTATTAACGTCAACATCAACATTAGCATCATCAGTATCATCACTATCTTCATCATCTTCATTTTCCTCTTCCTCTTTCTCTCTTAGCTGTGCACACTATCTCATCAAGCTTGTGTCATTGTAAACCTTATTTAAACAAATGATTTCCAAGTCGACTTTAATTACTTGTATCTCAAGAGCACAAAATATATTTTTATAAGAACTGCCAGCGCTGCCATTTTCTCGTACTATCTGCCTATTTAGCCAAGTCAAAGTTGGACAAGTATTCCCTTTTCAGCTAAAGGCAGGTGTAACGGCAAGCCTTAATGTCTTCAAAAGATCAGTCCGATCGCATGACTCTGTCGGTTTCGGACAATCAAATTTGCTATGCATTTCTACCTGTTGCCGATAGAGATGATAGTGTCAGAGCTCGGCATGGAGGGCAGCCACAGTCCAATCAAGTGCACTGATAACTGGTTAAAGGTTGGTTTTGTGCCCAAAAATGTGCACATATTGCCCAACCCACCCGTAGACCCGGCGCCAAAACGTCAGAGGGAAGAGTCAACTTCTAACTTTAAGCTGGCATGTAATGGAAATATACAAACGTATAGTTTATAATATAGAAATAAATTTAATTGAATTATATATACATATAATCTGCATCCTGAATTTTCTTATTTATCGGAATACTATTATTGAAGATTAAGTAGCATCGCATTAGTTTGTTGAGGCCATGGCCTAGTTTTAAAATGCACTTTGGCTTATTCGACCAATCTCATGCAAGTTGCCTGTAATTTTGTCTCTTATTATTATCAGTGATTAACTTTGTGTGAATTTGACGCCATTCTACTGCCACAGGTCCACTTGCAATAGGCATCCAAGCCAGAAGTGCCCTTAAAACATGGTTAATATCATAGTTTATATCAGTGGTTCCCAAACATTTCCTAGTCGCGGCGCCCTTTTCCAATTAAAACTTGTCCATGGCGCCCTAGCCTAAGTATGACTATTCGTGAGTAAGAGATTAAAAAAATAAAACTCGTGTATTTTCATTATTTCTTTTACTTTTATTGACATTAAATTAATAATTAATAATTAATGTGATCGATGAGCCTGCAAATCACTGCACATTTTCTCAAATTGAAGCTTTTACAATATTTCGCGGCGCACAATTTGAGAATCACTGGTTTCTATCATTTCGGCTTCTCTGCAAAAGTTAATGTCAATTGGTTACCTTCAGATCACGTATTTGCACTCATTTTGAAAGTAAGGCTTTTTGTGCTTAAACGAAAAGTGTGGATAATAAAATGCACAGATCAAGCCAGCAAGTGCTCGATCAGCGTCATCAATAAAAAAATATTGTCTAATTTCCTTTGTCGTATAACTCTTGCAATCTATGACATTTTGGTGTAACGGCAACACGTGGTCGACCGCCTGTTGCTTGACTGAACGAAGTG